ATAAGTTAACCATTTGCATAACAAAAAAACATAAGTAAGATATTATGATTCTTTCTGTTCATGTATGAGTCACCACTTCTCCCCCTTAGTTAACAAAAAAAAATATTCCTCTACCTTTATTAATAAAAAACATATGAGCTATTACTTCTCCCTCTTCGTCATAAAAAAAAAAAAAAAAAGAGAGTGATATTATGGTATCATGTTACTAATTTTCCCCCTTATATCAATGTTCCAATAATGTATAAATAAAAATTACTTTGATATTATTGCATATGAAGGATCCCAATATTATGTTATCGAAGATAAGTTTAAGTTATGGACACCGAGAGATTAGTTAATGATGGAGTCTCAATAAGACTCCTCTATATGATCTTAAAAATATGATAAACTTGAATTTAAAATAATACATCTTAAATAGTAGTCTTAAATTTAAGTTGAGATAAATTCAATATTGTTGATATTATCATTGCAAGCACAAATATTCAATAAAGTTTTAAATTTTAAAAATAATTAACAAAAGTTAGGCATGAGTCACTACTAATAAAAAGTTATAAAAGCATCATAAATTTCCTTGTTCAACACATAAGCTATGTATGAATCACTACTCCTTTGTCATCAAGAAAAAAAAAGAGATACTTCTTGTCATTTATCATCAACAAAATGAGTATACAAGTCATGAATACAAAGAAGTCATATAAAATAAATCTCAAATATTGAAAAATCATAATTCATTTGGATAAATCTCCTTCTTAGTCATTAGCAAAAAGAAACAATCATAGGAGATCAAATAGTAAAAGATCTTGACTCATACAAAAGAAATTTCAAGCCATGAATACCAAAATATCATGATTTATTTAGATAAATCTCCTCCTTAATTATTAATAAAAAGAAATAATTATATAAGAATAAATAGTAAAAAGTATTGATTCACACAAAATAAATCTCAAGTCATGAACACCAAGAAGTCAAATGAAAGATCATGATTCATTTGGATAAATATCTTCTTTAATAAAAAATAAAGAATAATATGAGAACAAATAACAAAATATCTTTAATCATACATTTGAAAGATTCAACATGCTTAATTCTCTTTTAATAAATTAAATTGTGGTTTAATAAAATATCTACTAACTGATATTTCATGTGGCATCTAAAGATATATCATAATTGTTAATATGATCCCTAATAAAATAATATCTAATGTTAATATGCCTAGTCGTAAAGTGTTGAATAGGATTCTTTGTCAAATAAACTGCACTAGTATTATCACATTTTATAGGGATATTTTTTAGACAAAGTCCATAATCTTTTAAAGTATTCTTTATCTATATTACCTATGCATAGCATGCACCTAACGCAACATATTCAGCTTCGACTATAGATAATACGATAGAGTTTTACTTTTTGGAAGACCAAAAAATAAGTGCATGACCTAGGAGTTGATAAGGTCCAAAGGTATTTTTTTGTGTCTATTCTATATCCTACAAAGTTAACATCAGCATAAATAATTAAATCAAAATTTTTAGATTTAGGATACCATAATCCCAAATTAAAAATTTTTTTTAATTATCTAAAAATTATTTTAACTGCTTTATAATGAGATCATTTTGCTTTATACTTTGATCGCTATCATAGTTAATCCTATACACATAAAACCTACTTCAATCAAGATAATTATTGTAAAACTTGAATCAAATATAGTTCGGTATATCATTGGTTCATCGACGCTTCGTATGATTATTCGACACATCATCCTCTCTTATGGCCTATTGCCCAATCGGCCAGTTGACCTCCGCAACTCTGATTTCTTTGGCATAATATTTGCTCTTCTTGGCCCGATGCCCAAACCCATGGCCTAAAGCCTTCTGCCTATACGTCGATCGATCCTTCGGCTCAACGTCTAATCTTCTGACATGTTTCTCTTCGGCCCAACATGATTCTTCCTACTTTAATTGTCTCTCCCTGATCAAAGCTTCCTATGTCACTCAAAATGCAAATCAGATAAACACTATTAATTAGTTTCATCATCAAAATCCGAGAATCAATAGTTGATGTTGTCAAGCGGTAGTACCGCTAGAGCTCGAGACTCTGTCAGGCGGTAGTACCGCCAGACTAGGTGGTGATACCGCCCAATGTCAATCTACAGGTAGTGGTACAGCCCAATAATGGCGGTGGTATCGCCAGTACCCCGAAAACTGGGGATCTGATACTTTTTTGCTCCAATTCTGAAACCAATAAAACATAGAGAAGTGATAAATACCCTTTACTTCTCAACTAATAAAATACAACTATAGTGAAATAGCTTACAAAATTTGAGAGTTCACCTCTATTGTTTCTAAGTGTGAAAGTTTGTAAAAGGAGAGTGAGACACTTGTGAAAGTTCTATAAAGGGGTGATTGATTTTTGCCCTTCAAGAAAGATCAATAGTGGAAACCGATGACCTCATTGGAGGAGGTATCAGTAGTGAATATAGGTTGGACGACCGAACCACTATAAAATTGGCGTATTCGCTTCTTAGTGCATACTTCACTTTTGCTGTATTCTATTTTACTTCATTGCAAACTGTCCAATCCCCTCCTCTCTACTCACTTACAAACTTATTCGAGTCAAATGGTCTTTTTAAAATAATTTTCATCGAACTAAGAGTTTCATCGTATGAAGTTTTTCGAAATTGATTAAATTTATTATTTTTATCTATTGCACTAATTCAACCCTTCCCCCCCCCCCCCCCCCCCCCCCCCCCACCTCTTAGTGTCATTCTTGATCATAACACACATATTAAAGGAAGATCGATATTGGAAGCCGGTGGCCTGGAGTGAAGATTAATCGGGAGTAGATATAGGTCACGACGACCGAACCACTATAAATCGGTTTGCATTTCTATTTTGCTGATTACCTTTATAACAAACTGCTTTATTTCCTCATTACTTTAGTTGCATACTCTTACGAACGTTTTTAAAGTTAAACATTATCAAAATGATTTTTATCATATGAAGATTTTTGACTCAACATGATTTTTAAGTACGCACTAATTCTCCA